ATACATATTTTCACATTTTCAAAGTATAAATTTAAAAATAAAATTATAAATAAGTCATCCGCGTGTACGCGGGAGTCACCTAGTTATCAATTATATTGTATGTATTTCTCTTTTTTAAGATTCTCTTCCGGTTTTGTGTTGGTTCAGGTCAATGTTGGTGAAAAGGCATGCGCTTGATGAATCAAGCATTATGACTTGTTTGACGGTGTGACATACTGTTTTCGATGTCCGCTTCAAAACTCTATTCTCATTTGGCTAGTGTTATAGATCAGATGAATTTCGTTACATATGGAGAATGCAGGTCATTATCTTTGCCATCCAAGGCGGTTCTCATTTTTTCGCGTTGTCCGTCTCTTGGAGTTGGTTTGGTTGGTCTAGGTTGGTTCGAGGCGATATCATTTGGTGGTATGTGCTCTTTCGAGCTTTAAATCTAGCTTCTTTCCGCCTTTTAATAAAGGCAAAGTGTCCTTTTCGTTTTGTATGCTCCTATCCCAGTTGATATTTTTAATAGTTTCTTTGATTAGTTATCATCACTTGGTCTTGTAAGGTTTGGATGGTGTTTTTCGGTGTAGTAGTTTGTGTATTCGGCTTCTTTTTTGTCGAAGTTTGGTTCCTTGTTTGGGCTTTTGGCTCCAAAGACATTTCTGTAGTTCGTCGGCTTTTGGTTTCGGAGATATTTCTATAGTTTATCGGCTCATGTAGTTCTCTTTTGGTTTTTATCCGTTCAATATATTATAAGACATCAGATGCCAAAAAAAAGAAAGATTTGATTGCTTTCCTATTAATAAACTAGTCCATTAAAAGTGCATGGAAATCTAAACTTGTCACCAAAGTATATTCTTTTTGTAGGTTAGTAGTGCTTTAAGGTTAGTAGTGCTTTGTTCTTATAAATTTTTGTTGATCTAGGGAAAATACCTAAAAAGGATGTTTCAAAGTCTCGTGCATTGAAGACAAAATGGCATTGAAAATAGTGGTTCAGGTGAGAACGAGCCATCAGATCGCTATAAATTTTAGTAGCGTCTAACTTTGATTTTTTTTTTTTACTGTTGTGAGATCCATTTTTTTTTTTTCCAATAAAGCTTAGCCTCCTCTCATTTGGTTTTCGATTATATTTCCTGCTCTAAAATATCCATTTGAACGTTTGAAATTTTATCATACAAAAATTACGGTCATGATTCTCTGATTTCTATGTGACTGCTTCTTCATATTTTCCGAAAATTCATTTAGGTGGTTAAACTCAAATTTCTATTCATTTGAAATGCATCTTATACCCATCCCGAATGCATCATCATCCGTCACGGCCAAAAGTTAGCTCAAACGACTTCGAGCATACTTTGAAGAAGCGTTTTAAAACAAAGTAAGAATGTTACACAAGATGTTAGCTACATAATGACTATCTATATTAGATCAAATCACGGGGATGACAATAAAGTCACAATTTGTCTTAATTATTACGGCTTATAAATTACACAATCATTTTCTGTTTCTCTACTCTATATACAACCAAAAAAAGGAAACACAGGTCCAAGCAAACTTTTAAGAGATGAAAAGTTTCCTTACTTCTACTTCATTCCTGTTCGTTACCTTTGACAATATTGAACTTGCACAGTGGACATGTCGCGTTTATTTTCAGCCACTTAACTATGCAAGTTGAATGAAAGTGGTGGTTGCAAGGAAGTGCGACCAGTTCTGCTCCATCTTCATATGAACAGAGACATACACAACAGTCCTACACACAAAAAAAGCTCTGAATTTCATCTCAAAATTTCTATAAAACATCCACAAGACAGCTTTCCGAATAACAACTTACAGCATCTTCGGGAAGAAGCACATGTTCATTTCCCAAAGAGTCAGTGCCTGCCTCGACGGGTATCATTTTCCCGCCAGCGTTGTCGCCTTGCTTTTCACCATTGTTCATCATCTGAAACTTGTACTTCGGAAGGATGCTGAGATCTGCTTCTGATGCACCCTCCTGAACACACAAATAAACAGCTAATTATTGATTTCGTTTCTTCGAAAGTTAAGGCAATTTGTATTCAAGGGGTTTCTGTTTTAGCACATACCTGCCCAGCAACAGCGTAAAGAAGAGCAATAATACAAGGGAGGCAGCAACAGAGGGCGATTCCGATAAGACATGCCAGCACAACGCAAAAGATGGCAAAGAACACATCAAATGCCAAGAAAACAAAGGTCAACCTGCAACCATTAAACATTATAATATCATTGCCATTCAGCTCGAATAAGAAAACATAATAAGATAAAATGACGCAACGAGCTTTCAGTAAGAAACATTAAGCAAATCAACCCATACCAGTACAAATGTGAAGCATTTTGCAGAAGGATCTCACCACCAGATACAAGCCAGTAGAAGCCAGCGATCCACCAGATAAAGGATATTATGGTGTTCATTGATTCGCAAGTCTTAGTGCTGAGAAAATTGATTGTGAAATCATTAGTGGCTGAAGAACAAAGCAACACAAACAAGAAATTGAAGACAGAACGATAATCGAAACAACTGGCCCTCCTCACGCATATTTTGGAGTTCCATTCAACCAATGCAACGAGTGCAGAACACGGTTCTCGTCTTAGGATCTACCCTTTTAAAATTTCGTAGGTTCCAACCATGACACGAAAGCGATAACCTTGACAATCGACTAATCTTATTCATACTTTCCCAAGCTAAAAAAGTACTTTTTTCATAGTAATCATAACACACGACGAAAGACAAGATGCATTGTCGGGTTTAGAAATGTCTTAACTTGGCTGGTTACAGAGAGAGTGATAGCAAGTAATGATGCTAACTACGACAAAGTAAACTCGAACCAAACAATAGAAACATTCCATATATGTTGAATTCAGTCTTCTAACTCTAACCAGCACATCTAATTAAAATTCGAAATCCGATTTACGATGTTGCAAGTGATTCAATCGTAGAGGAAGAGAGCTAAACCTGAGATATCTATCATCACCATCCTCATCCTCACTATCATGACTACGTCCATTTCCAGAGCCAGAGCCTTGAGCAGCTTCCAAATCCACACCTCGCCGGTTCCTCTTCCTAAACTCAACCCACACAAGAACCACATGAACCAGACACTGAAGCGCATAACCACAGATCCAAATCCTAATCGGAACATTTGGGTTCTCATCTTTAGAAAGTAAAAGCATCACAATAGCAGCAACCACAAAAGCTGTGTTCCAAAGCATATCCAAAGCAACGACAGGTTTCGAATAACCCCAATCGGCTCTTCTCTCTTCAAGCTCCTGAGCAGCAGTCTCTCTAACCAACATCGAAGCTCCTCGTTGACCAGTAGCTCGACCTAACAGGACAGCGATTACAGGAGGACGGCGAGGAGAAGATTGTCGAGAGCGGAGAAGCGGTGTGGTGGAATCAGACATGGTTGGGGAACCAGAGGGAGATTGAGGTGAAGACATGGTTGGTTGATTCCGTCTTCTTGTAACAAAGACTGAGAGATGGGAAGGGAAGATAGATGAATCTTAGGGTTTGTTTGGTTTTTTTTTTCTCGTACCCACCAATCAAAAAAGTACGGAGGTCAAAATAGAGACCACGAACTGATTTTGGTTATGGACAAAAAAAAGTATTTGGTGAATCGGTGGATCACATCATTGATGTGTTTAATTGTTAATTACCTTTTTAATATGTGGTGGATCATATAATTTATTGACAGTCGACAATAGGACTAGTCGGTATGAAATTGAGATTTGGGCATTTGTTCGATTTTTTTTTTTTTTTGTCATCGGGAATTTCTTTGACAAACCTTGGCGGTCTTGCATCGAATTTAGAACCAAGAGGCATTTCCACACAACATTCATCGAAGACGGGTTTCAAACATTACTTTTGACGATAATACCATTACAAGTTTTTAGAAGATGATAGATTTCTTTCAAATGTTGCCTTTGTCAAATTTGTTCTCAAATAGATAGCTTCAGAAAAACATACACTAAAACAAAACAAAAAACAAAGGTAAGCTGCAAATCGCAAACCAAATAAGGGAGAAGAGTCTGAAGACAGGGGAAAGATAAGCATAAACTGGACTTCGCTAACCAAGATCAAACTATCCTACTGACAAGGAAATCGTGGTCAGAGACAAGAAAAAAGCAATTATCGGCCACGATAAATCCACAAAAGCATAACAAATCTAGTTATGCCACCGCCTCAACCTGAAAAACCATACATAAAATATTTAAAATAATATTTAGGTGAAAAATCTAAAACAAAATATCTTTACGATAAAATCCGCACGTATGCACGGATACTCAGATAAAAGACTCTATAAGAATAAGAGGCTCCTATTTATAGTCATAGGACCTTAACAAACACCAATCACTCAATCTGAGACTTTTAACAAACTCAATCCTTTGGCTCTGCCACGTCATTCTCTTATTCCTCTGGTTTCCTCAACTTCTTTCTGTAAAAAGATCTCCATGATAAAGGCTTACCGACTTTTTGAAACATACACCGTATAATAATATTGTTTAGAATTGCATCTTTCCAACTAATTAACCCTAATGACAATCGATAGAAAACATTGTAAACAATAACC